GCAACTATAGATGCATAGTTCATCATACTGTCATTAGATTTAAAAATGATTACTACTGCAATTTCCTTATCTGATAAGACTTCTACTCCTAAACAGATTTTCTGCTGTTTGATTCATTAGCATGGAATGCAGGCAGTCGGAAAGGGGCTAAACAAAGTTATAATTGCATTCGGGGTTTACAAAAGGTATGTGAAGTTTGTGCTCATCCCAAGGACTTTTGGCTTTTGCATGAATACAATTAGTATGTGTCCACTGCCCAGCCTGATTGTAACAAAATGCCATTGCAGTGCTTTGATCAGCTCACTCCTGTGTACATTTGCCTCAGGAAAACCTGATCAGCCCAACAGCAGATTTCACCACTGCAGGTAGTTAGCATATAAATACAATGTAAAATAAGTAACTGAGTCATTCTCAGTCATGAGAAGAGGTAACTGGTAAGATTTCCTCTACTTAATCAAGATAAAGGACAAATGGATGCAAGAACCTCCCCAAAAAATTAACACACAGTTAGTAATCCCAAGTGATAATTGGGAGGTATAAAGGGAAGGCCAGTGAGGCAAGGCCATTAGGAGCAGCACAACACAAGAGTACAGTTCAGCAGACAGCAACCAAGGTGAGTCCTCCACGCACATCACGTCAGGCATCATACCGCTGAGCGAATGTATTTATTTCTGAATGTATTTATCGTATGCCTGGAACTGTATTGCAATGTGGTGCGCTGCGTCGCAGTACAGGGTGAGATGTACCCCGATTACAAGTATCATGTTGTTTTTGATGCTTCTGTAATAAAAGTATCTTTTCAATCAAAAAAAAACCAAGGTGAGTGACTACTAGAACCAGCTCACAGCTCTTTAGCTGCCTTCTGTGGTTTACTGACTGCATGCCTCTGAAACAGGCCAAAACTAAAAAGGGATGTCAGTGTGACTGATTTTAGGACAACTATAGCAAAGAAAACTAGTCAATAGGGAGCCATTTCCCACAACATATCCTGGGACAAAACCACAATTAACCATGGCTCTAATTTAATACAGTTTTCTCTGTATTTGTACCATTTGCATCATATTTATACGCCTATTGGAAATATCTGGTCTACATACTTTGGCACGATGTACTTATTGAATATGTGTGTTTATGGCAAATAGTATTTATTTTACATTAAGCCATTCCTAGTTTTTTACTCATTTGTGTCTCTGAACAATCGCTTTCATATAGTTTACTACTATACACATTGTCACAAAAAGTTTGTTTTCTCATCTTCATTGAACTCTAGTGTTTTACCATTAATGAAGCTAGCATAAATCTTCATTAGGCTTACCTCATAAACCAAAAACCAATGTGCAAAGTTACAAATGAACTGAAATTTGATTGGCTGCTGTGTGATATTATGTGACTAGCCTCATTTATGTTAACATTTACAATTCTTTCTCCCAGTAGGTTCCATGCTGGAAAAGATCAACAATGTGAAATACTTTCTTTTGCCTTAACATTGAAACGCTTTTCTGATTTCAAAAGAGCAAGTGCTTCATTGTTTCGGCAAAAGAGGGTCCTACTTTTGCATAGACAGCGAACCATCCCAGTGAACCACAGCACATTGTACAAACAGTGCAATAATGAATTTATGTTTTAATAGCACATATAAATGTATATGTGTACACAGAGTACTTGTCTGTACATAATATATGTAACGAATTATTGCCTTCCATAAAATGTTATGCTTTTATGCCTTCCATAAAATGTTATGCTTTTATGAACACATCCCAGAGTGCACCGGCACTTTAACGTTGGAGCACTTTCTGTGACTTGCAAAAAAGGTAAGTGCTTCCAACGTTGTAGATCTGGTGCATTTGATCACATCCAATGGCTTAAAACAAAACAGAAGATAATGGCAGAAGTCTGAAGGCCACAAAGAAGCTCGCTCATGTTACAGGTATTACTATTATACAGTATTTATATAGCGAAAAGGTTTGCTCAGCGCTGTACATTATAGATAGGTAACCAAGAGACATATCTGCATTGTCGCATGCAGCAACCATTGCCAATGTGCACCTCTGTGGTGTTAGAGCTGGAATTGCACTTAGCAATGGTGATTGTTTGCAGCGTGTCAGCAGTCCAATCACATAAGTTATAAGGAAGGTAATTCAATTACAGTATCATTCCTACAAAAATGTATTAATAAAGGATGCGGGGCACAGTGGTTGGCACCTCTGTCCTGGGGCCCTTTGTTTGAATTGAATTAAAGACACTATAGTTTGCATGCTCTCCCTGTGCTTCTGTGGATTTCCTCTGGGTACATTGTTGCCCTCTCCATTCCAAAGACAACTGCAACATATGGCAGACAGTTGGTAACAATATGTTGACAGGCTATTGCAACTTTGTATGCATTTCAGACTTGAAGCCACAGAAAATCGTGTTAGACGTGCACCAAAGATGGCAATGCCAGTCACAGTAGTGGGAAGGCAGGGGGATGCTATATTTTCTAGAATAGATTTTTTTTTTTTCCAAATATTTATTTGAAACAAGTAAATATCTAAATATCCCCTTTACTAATACAAAAATCATTTGGTAAAGCAGCTTAAAGAAAAAGTTCACCTTTCGTAACATGTTGCACCCATATTTAGGGTGTAACATGTTGCAAAAGGAGTATAGGGGTAACACCTCCCCCCAATCCCTTGTGATGGCTAGTAGGGGATCTTCTCCCCCTGCTGTCTCTCACAATTTATAAAAATACTCAGTACTCAGTTCACAGTATTGTGTGAATGAGAAACTAAAAACGTTTTAGCAGCCTTTGTAGTTCTCCATGATCTACCATGGTGCTGTTGAGCACTGTGGTAGTTCATTGCTTCTTCCTGTCAGAATGTATCTGCTTGCCCGTACAAGGTAAAAGCACATAGACACACTGACAGGTCTGCAGGAGTCCTGTATGGTACCAACAATCTGCTGATCGCTGGTGCAATGCTTTCCAGGCTCCCAAAACAAAAATAGTAAATGCACATTTTTTTTTACCTGCAAAAAAATGTGCATTTATTAATTTTGTTAAAAGGTGAACTTGTCCTCTAAGTTGCATGTATGAAATATATGACAAAACAATAAGCTGTAGTGTATGTAACAATTCATATACCTGTGCTACTTTAAACTTGTCCATACACTTAAAGATTTCTTAAAGAGAAATCAATGGATCCTCTAAACATGGAAGCGCTAGTAACAAAACTGTAACTGTAACTTATAAAATACCTGGTGAAAAAGTAAAATTTTTTATTCTGTATTTCAGATATTGCTCTATAGACTGCAACTAGACCAGGGCTTATTAACCAGGGTTCTATCATTATTTACATGTCCCATCACAGGCAGGTGATGGGTGGATCACATCATCACAAAGCGGACAGTCCATCTGCTCCTCCCCCTACAGAGCCATGCATGGAAGCAGCATACATCATTGTCTCCTGACCCCTCTCCCCCATACTGCACTCCTGGCCCTCATGTATTGTGCACTTCTGACGCTGCCCCCCCCCCCGTATTATGTCGAACCCAGTATTGTGCCCTGCTGCCCCATACCTTGCTCCCTGGCTCAACATCCTTCCCATATTGTGTTCTCCTGACCACCCATGCCCCCCCCCCCCATTGCACTTTCTAGGTCCTCCACCTGGTAATTGTGGGTTTAAAAGAAAAGAAAAAAGGGGGAGGGGGGGTGTTGCTGATCACACCAATGCTCTGAGCTGTAGATACGAAAATTATTTCACGGGTTTCCTGAGATCTTAAACTTTTTCACAAGGGTTCCTCTGAGGTAAGAAGGCTGAAATACCTTGAACTAGACAACTGGGACAAAATTTGAGGTGAACCCGTTTTCACTTCATATCTGCACTAATGAATTGAAATAAACGACGACCTTGCTGCACATTAAATGAATATATTTAAGCTGCAAAAAGCAACCTATATCTTCGCGCTTGAATGGAAAGGGTCAAAAACGTAATAAATCAGTTAATTAAATATAATAAAACAAATAAAGCAGCTGTTTCAAATAAATAAATGAATGTTTGAACTGTCCTCATAAAAGCGCTCAGTATTGCAAAATTAGGTATACAAATATTGCCTAAAGAATATATAATGTCTAACAAAAATCGTGACAAAAATTACAATTAAAACTTCCACCAAAGTGCACAAATGTGAAATAAGTTCAGTTCGTTTGAATTATTTCAGTATTTCCTCCAGATAATAACATCCACCATCATAGTGATCTTGCCGTGATTAACACCCCATCAGAATGTTCACTCACCAGATGCTGGTGATTAACCAGCAGTGGAAAATCAACCTCCTTGATGTTAAAATGATTGGAATCAGACCAGGAATACAAAAGACCAAGAAGTCCTTTATCTCCAATAGATATTGCTCAATCTGCCTCCAGAATCATCATCATGTTGTTGTGTAGATATGAGTAGTTCAGGTTTTGGTGTTGGTTTTGCCTTTGGATCTGCTGGTTTCATAGTTCTTTCTTGTGATGCTGGCACCCTAGGGTCAGAGCAGTCATGTAGTGGATTAGTTGGAGAAGAAGCAAGGAAGTACAAGTGACACTGCTAGTGCACCCTCGACAGCAGCTGTAGCTGGGAACAGTAAGGTGCCAGCATCACAAGAAAGGACTATGAATTACCATAAATTAAATTCTGACTTAGTGCTATGGAGTATTTTTACATAATCAAACCTTGCATTGGATTGTTGAATCAGACCCCAAGACTGATAACTAAAAAAAAAAAAAAAAAATTGTTCTACCATATCCAAGACAGAAGAGCAGCAGCTTGATCTGACTGCAGTATAAACACTGCAGTGATCCGCATTGTCCAATGCATTGTTACTATATTTGTGTGCATTGCTCACTGCATTATCTCTGTAGTAATATTAGGAGATCCCTTGCAGCAGTTGAAAATGTTATTCAAATAGCTTCTGCTGTGTGATCATGTAAGTTATAGTTTGTAGATTGAGCTGTTGGAGAAAAGATGTCTGATACATACTTTGACAGGACTCTGAGTGGAATCACTTCCTCCCCAACTCTGTGTCTCTCCTTGTGCTTCTTTTTTCTTTTCCTTTTTACTTTCACAGTAGATGTGTCTTTCTTGTCACTTGTGTCTTTTTCTTCTTCTGTAGAAACCTCTGATAAATGCAAAAAAACAGGTCCACAAAACCAGCCATGAAAACTTTGGGACATACAACTGATAGAGAATCTCTCTGTTCTTCAGTAGCAAAGTGATTTCTTTAACTGCTTCTGAGCCGCCCTATAGCAGAAATACTGCTACAGGGTGGCACGGGTGCACAAAATCACGGTGACTGACAGCCACTCGTGGCCTCGGCAGTCAATTACCGGGTCCCGGCCGGTGATTCCCCGATGGCACCCGGCGATCTCCGAAGATTTCCAATGGGGGGAGACCTGTATGTAAACAATACAGATCTCTCCCCTGTCAGCTCCTGCACACTGCTTTGTATGGTTCTGCATATCAATGTCATACAAAGCAGTGTGCTTACAGTGAAACACACACAGCCCCCCATAGCAAAACAGCACACATTTAACCTTTTGATTGCCCCACGTTGTCCCCTTCCTGCTTAGTACCATTAGTACAGTGTCAGTGCTTTTTATTAGCACTGATCACTGTATTGGTGTCACTAGGGATGTCAGTGACACCAAGTCAGTTCCTCCCAGTGTCCCAGCGCCGCAGTCCTGCTATAAGTTGCTGATCGCCGCCAATACTAGTAAAAAAAACAAAAAAAACAGTATACAGGCATACCTCGGTTTACGAATTTAAATTTGCGTAAACCGAAAAGCCGTTTCCCATAGGAATGCATTGAAAACCAATTAATCAGTTCCGGAGGTCAGAAAAAAGTAGACGCTACTAAAATACCACATTAGTTATTTTATCAATTCAAGCGGTATTTTAGTAGTGACAACCATGTGTTAATGTTTCAGCTGTCAGCGGGGTTCCCCACTGACAGCTGAATGTAAAAGAAAGAACTGCCAGCAATTTAAAAAATTTAAAAACCGGCGTGGGGTCCCCCCTCCCATCCTTACCAAGCCCTTCAGGTCTGGTATGGATTTTGAGGGGAATTCCCACGCCAAAATAAAAAAAAAAAAAAAAAAAAAAAAAAACAAAAAGGAAATGGCGTGGGGGTCCCCCCCCAAAATCCAAACAAACCCTTAACCGAGCATGCAGCCCGGCAGGTCAAGAAAAGGGAGACCCTTATCCTAAACCATGCCAGGCCACATGCCCTCAACATGGGGGGTGCTTTGGGGCAGGGGGGTTCCTCCACCCAAAGCACCTTGTCCCCCATGTTGATGGGGACAAGGGCCTCTTCCCCACAACCCTGGCTTGTGGTTGTGAGGGTCTGCGGGCAGGGGGTTTATCGGAATCTGGAGGCCCCCAGATCCCGCCCCCCCATGTGAATGAGTATGGGTTACATGGTCCCGCTACTCATTCACACAAAACAAAAAGTGTAGTGTGAAAAAAAAAAAATAGGACACGGTCTATGACAAGTCCTTTATTAAAAGAAAAATCTAAAAGAATGTCCCCCACAGTAGATCCAATGTCAATCATGATGTCTGCCGCCAACCCGAAAAAAAAATATATATATATATATATATAATATAAATAAAAAAAGCTCCACTCCCGACGATGGCTCCCGGCTCTCTGCCTCTGAGCTGGCTTGACAGTTCTCAAATATGTAAGGGGCAGGGCCACCCAGTGACATCACACGTGTGGCTCCACCTCCTTGTGACATCATTGACCCAGCATGCCCCGGCTGATGGGGGGGTAAGAGCCTGCCTGCCAGGCTGCATGCTCGGATATGGGTCTGGTTGGCGTGGGGGTTCCCCATACCAGACCCGAAGAGCATGGTATGAATGGTGCGGGGACCCCATGACATAGTTTTATTGATTAGGGTGCCGGTTTTTAAATGTAATTACCGCTTTTTTTTTTCTTCACTATAACTCAGATTCAGCTGTCACTTTCCCCCCAGCTAAAAGAAAAAAGTTTCCTTTTAGTTTATTTCCCCAAGTTAAAAGAAACAATGTTTCCTTTTAGTTTGTTTCCTGAGATAAAAGAAACAAAGTATCCTTTAGCTCCAGGGAAAGTGACAGCTAATTCTGTGAGCTATAGTGAAGAAAAAAAAAAGCCAGCAATTGCATTTAAAAATTGGCACCAACATACAGTTTGTATTGCGAAACAAATTTGTAAACCGGGGCATTACTTTCAATGGATTTTCATTCGTAAACCAAAAATTATGTTAAACGAGGCGTTTGTAAACCGAGGTACACCTGTATATATATTTCATGTAAACCAATTAATTTACATGTAGTGGGATTTTTTTTACTTTTTTTTTTTTTTTTTTTAAGGAAACACATGTAGAATACATTTTGGCCTAAATTTAGGACGAAATTTGATCTTTTAAATTATTTTACTGGTTATGTTCATTAGCAAAAAGTAAAAAAATATTTTTTTTTTCAGTTTTTTGTTATAGCGCAAAAAATAAAAACCGCATAGGTGATTAAAAACCAATAAAAGAAAGCTCTATTTGTAGAAAAATAAAAAGACGCAAATTTCATTTGGGTGCAGCATTGCATGACCGCGCAATTGTCAGTTAAAGTAACGCAGCGCCGTATCCCAAAAAATGGCCTGGTCAGGAAGGGGGGTAAATCCTCTGGAGGGCAAGTGGTTAAATGATCACAAGTGATATCACATACAGTACCACCTACTAGTAGCATTCAGGCATGCAGAGCTCCCATCATCGATACAGACACTGATGACACTTTATAAACATTTGCTGCCTGCATGATTACATCCTTGTTTTCTATGATAATAATAATAATAGTTATACTAACAATATTAATATTTACAATCCCAATTTACTACCAGTTTGCAGCCTGGTAAAGTAAAGAATCAGCAGTAGGAATCTCCTCTACAGCCCTAAAACTGTGGGAGGTATTGCTAACACATCCTGGTGACACATGCCCTGGCCAACAATACATTCTCATGGTCCTTGTACTATGCCCCATTTTTAGGAAGATTCATGGATGAGTTATGTGGCGTTTAGCTACAATTTACTGCTAAATCTAGATGCCATCTACCTCACCCTGGACAATCTATACGCATCCTGTTAGTAGTAGCAGAAGATGAGTATGTTTCAGTTTGTGGTCACTGCCTGTTATTTAGATATGAAGCTGTGGAGAATCCCCTTTCAGAGTTAACAGCATTGATGTAATTAAATAATTCCATGCTTTCAGACAGCTTGAGCGGTCAGGCGACTGGATTCTTGTGCCAAGCAGAACAGCATCAGTGATTGCTCACCACCACAAGAAGAAGCTCAGATAGGAGGTACATCATAAATTGGCGGGCTTATACAGTATATCAGCCAAGTATTTTTTTTTAGAGGGTACCATTATCAGAAAATATCCCCATAATTCTCTCATGGCAGCATTCCTTTGTGTTAACATTTATGTACCACGTAAAACAGAAGTATGGGGTTGTGGAAATAAAAACAAATTCTACTCACTTAAGTGCTGCATCTGTCCCCTGCCACTTCTGAGACTGAGAACCGAGTCTGCGGAAAGCCGGTGACTTTCAATCACCAGTTCTCTGCACTGCCCCTCCAGTGCTCACTGGAGCACTGGGTTGAGAAGGGGGTGGGAGCGACTGGCTCAGGCTCTCAACAGTATGCTAGGAAGGGGGGTGAGCCAGCTGTTCATCAGGCTAGGGAAGAGGAGTCTGCACTCCTGTGACGGAAGTAGGGTCAAAATAATTTCGACCATACTTCTCCTTTATTGCTTTATTGTGGATAATTAACAATCAAGTAGAAGTGGTGATGAATATGAAGAACTCAATGTATTTACAAAAGAGCAATACAATGTATTACCTTTACAGTCCAGAAGGTCTCTTGAGGACTTTGAATCTACAGATTCAGAATGCATTTTCCTTTGCTTTGATGAGGAGGAGTCGTGCTCTTCTGAGCTGCTTTCTGTATGTTTTCTCTTGGATGATCTAACCTCATCAGACTGGTCAGAGCTCTCTGCTCTGTCTCTCTTCCTCTTTTCCCTTCTTGAAGACTGTTTGTTGGTATCTGATGATTCAGCCATTGAACTCTCTGACACACTGCGATGTCTCCTAGGTTTTTCCTCCTTTGAAGGTGCATCATTTTCCTCTTCTGCTTTTTCCTCATTCTCTTTTCTACTCTTTGACTTTTTCTTTTTCTTCTTCTTTTTCTCTTCTAGAAAACAGAGTAAGGCATCAGAATAATGACATAGTTCAGCAGAGAAATTGTATTACTAAACCCTGCATTCGCTATATCTGGTCTCCCACAGTACACACAACATAGAAATGCAATTATTTTAATAAATATAAACTGCTAAATACCTTTTCTCATCAGCAGTTAGAGCAGTCTTGTGACTTCTATCAGTGCCCAGGTGAGCAATAGTTAAAGCTTGTAGGAGGAATTTGCATTCTTCCCTCATTGTCCTATGAGACTGCATAACCCCTAACCTTCTGTCTAGACAGTGCTGACTGGCCCTGTGCTGGTCCCATGCACCCTCCCAAGAAAAAAACTCTAGTAATACACACTAAACTGAGCATGTGCAGTTTGCCCCCAAGGAACTGTTCTATCAGCAGATGGATTGCGGACAGTAGAAAAAGGGGAAGATCAGAGAAGACAGGAGCAAATATCCTTTTTACACTATGCCGAGGATTAACCCCTTACGTTCCAAAGTGACTATAACAAGAATACTTTACTGCATATACAGACTGATTTTACTGTTGTGGGTTTAGTAACAGTTTAAACACATTTACTTATAAGCATAGTGGTACAGTGGTTAGCACTTCTCCCTTGCAGCACTGAGGTCCGGACTAAATCCCACCCGGACACTATTTGCAGGGAGTCTGCATGTTCTACCTTGCTTGTGTAGGTTTCCTCTCAGTACCCCAACACCCCCCCTCCACCCACCCGCGCACACACACTCCAAAGACATGCTGGTAGGTTAATGTGCTCATGCCCAAATCGGCTCTAGTATGCATGTGTATGCGCATGCGTGTAAGATAGGAACCAGAGGTTGTAAGCTTTGAGGACATCTTGATGTGAATGTACAGTATTTAAAGCAATGCATAGTAAACTGTCAATGCCAGTTTGGGAGGAATCTTGTACAGTATTTTCTCCAAGGCAAGTGTTTAATTACTTTTTTGCCCATCCCAGAAAAAAACTTAAAGTGACATTAAACCCAAAACAAAAATAAAAGCTGATCATTGTAAGCACAGCTCAAATTTCAGCTTATGCAGTAGAAATGTTTTCGGAGGGTGACCCTATTTGCCCTAAAACAGCCAGGCAGAATATTCTTGTTCGAACAGCTCCTGCTTCCAATCAGAAGCAGACAACTGGTCAGCTGTCAGAATCCAATAGTCAGCACTGTAGATTCATCCAACCACTTGATTTAATCTGGATGGGGCTGGTCTAAAGCTGGATCAGTGTAATTCACCTTTAGCCCCCGGTCACATCAAAGCCGATATTGAAACTGTGCGACTTACAGTAAAGTCGCATGATTGCAAAATCGGATGACCTGCCGATTTCCTTGCGACTTACAAGACATCTGACACAGATGTCTATGCAAATCGCACGAAAAGTAGTGCATGTGCTACTTTAGAAATTGGTGAGGCTCCGACCATGTCAGAACCGCACCAATATGATGGCTCTAATAGCGGACAATAGGGTGCAGCTTGGCATATGATCACCTGGAATGAAAATCACATGCCAAATCGCACCTGATGTGACCAGGGGCTTAACGTGTATGGCTAGCTTGAGCCAAAGACGAAAAAATAAAAATGCAGCCCAAAAGGCAAGAATGTCTTATTCCCATACTTGTTATGATCAGTGACTCAAATATATTGAAGCCCATGCATCAGCCTAACGAGCAGCGTTTTCAGAATGAGCGGTCAGAAATGGAAGCTTACTTGTGTTAAAGCTGTTGTAAACCCTTACATTTACCTAGTGAAGTGACTGGCCTCAGGTAACACACGAGATGAAACAAATCCTACATAAGTTGTACCTGTTTATCTCTAGTATTCTCTTTTCTACATCCAAAGTAAAGAATTTTTACAGCTTGTCTGAGAGTTCAGAAAAAATGGGGCGGAGAGCTGAAGTTACACTCTGCAAAACTCAGCGAGGAGAGCTCTGAGAGCTGATTGGAGGGAAGAGCCCCCCCACACATAGCTCACAGGAACAGAGTCAAAGTGGTTAGTCTGCTGGAAGTCCCTTCCTCGTCACCATTTTTCTCTTGGTGTCAAGAAAAAGCAGCACACAGAAATTACACTTAGTGCTCTTAATTGAGAAAAGTACACACTATAGAGAGATATGCTTTGTTCATATTTTATTTCTGAGGTTTACAACCATTTTAACAACTGAGCATAGGTCTGCCCTAATGCTTTATTGTGGATAACAACAGGTAAATGGGAGTTGAGCTCTGAATTCATTTAGATCTGCGAGATAAAAACAGGAATTTTGACTAAACTGCAAATTCCTTATATTGAAGTACAGTACAGGACAGGACCAGGGGTATGGACATTTAAAAAAAAAAAAAAACTATTTGTCCAGGGACTAAATTGGGGTCTACTTGTCCCTCGTGACAATCTGCTTGTCCTGATAAAAAGAAAAAACAAAAAAATTCTAATCAAAACTGTATTTAAATCTGAGGTGCTTTTAGGAATGTCTGGGGCTTTTAAAAACAAAAGGGGCTTTATGGTGACTTAAATGTTTAATATTTTTTAACATTGCGCTGTTTATCTCCTCCTCACCTCCCTGCCTATCTCCAGCACCGCATCTGGGGACTTGCAGGGAGTGGAGAGACCTTGCAAGTGTAATGAGCACTGATTGGGTGCTCGTCCGGAAAGAGGAGTAAATGAGGTGCCGGATCCAATGGAAAAAAAAAAAATAAAAACTTTATTCCTTCAGGTTACCCTCACACAGGGAAACATTTGGGTGCTCAGTACTAGCAGCCAAACCAAACTCCGGTGTCCGCTCTGTTAACCACTTTCCCTCCTAAGGATTTAACCCCCCTTCCTGACGAGGCCATTCTTAGTGTTATGGCGCTGTGTTACTTCAACTGGCAATTGCGTGGTCATGCAACGCAGCACCCAAATTAAATTTACATTTTTTTCCCCACTAATTGAGCTTTCTTTTGGTATGAATTGATCACCTGTGGGGTTTTTATTTTTTGCACTATAAAAAATAAAGTCTGACAATTTTGAGGAATAGAAATCAATATTTTTGACTTTTTGCTATTAAACATGTCCATTAAAAAAAAAAAAAAAAAAAATCAAATTTCATCATAAATTTAAGCCAAAATATATTATGCTACATGTCTTTGCTAAGAAAAAAAAAAAAAAATCCCAATACACGTAAATTAATTGGCTTACGTGAAAGTTATAGCGTTTACAAATGGCGGTATATATACTTGTCTTTTTTTAAAAATATTTTTACTAGTAATGGCGGCGATCAGTGACTTATAATGGAACTGCGGCTGGCATTCTGACACTGAGGGGAACTGACTTGGAGTCACTGACACCAATACAGTGATCAGTGCTAAAAAAAAAAATAAAAATAAAAAGCACTGACACTGTACTAATGGCATTGGGCAGGAAGGGGTTAACATGAGGGGCAATCAAAGGGTTAACTGTGTGCGGTTTCACTTGTGTCTGTGTGCTTCACTGTAATCACATTGCTTTGGATGGCTGTGCATAAGCCGACAGGGAGGAGAACTGTGTTGTTTACTAATAGTTCTTCTCCCCATCGGAGATGCTCGGCAATCGCACCGGGCACCGGCGCGTAATCACTGGCTGGGACCTGGTGATTGACAGCTGCAGTTGCAAATGGTTTTGCGGGTAGGGATCACGCACCGCCTACCCGAAAATGCAAAATCACATATATATGATTTTGCGCATCCGTGCCGCCCTGTAGCAGTATTTCTGCTACAGGGTGGTCGGGAAGCAGCTAAAGGAGAAGTTCACCTTTAAAATAAATAAATGCACTTGCAGGTAAAAAATTCACATTTTATTTTTTTTTTATTTTTTTAAGAAGCCTGTAAAGCACTACACCATTGATGAGCAGATAGTGGGTATAATGCAGGACTCCTGCAGACTGTCAGTGTAATCTGTTTGTCTGTACATCATATGGGCAGGCAGTTTCACAATGACAAAAGAATCAATAGAAACATAAAACAGTGATGGCTGAAAAAGACAGAGTGGTCCATCGAAACCTATTTTTTTTTTTTTTTTTGTCTGAGTATAGATCTATGCTTGTCCCAAGCATGTTTGAAGCTATTTACTGTTGACTGGCTCACTACCTCTGCTGGAAGTTTATTCCAAGCATCAACTACTCTTTCAATAAAATAGTACTTTCTGAGATTAGTTTTGAACTTTCCACAAGTTAGTTTAAAGTCATGCTCACGCTCAACAGCACCATAGTACTTAATTGAGAACTACAAGCCGACATCCACAAAGGATGTCGGTAATCATAGTTGATTCATTCACAGAACTCTGTGAATGGATGGCGTGGCCGTGTGGGCGGAGCTTCTCCCCATACTGCTGTCACAAAGAGGGCTCGGATCGCCAAGCCACTGGAGGATCAGGAACATGTTATATGTTCCACCCTAAAAATAAGCAGAACATTTAACATGTTTCTGACAGTGAACTTATCCTTTATCAATTTTGCTGCAGAATCTTCTTTGCGTTTTTTTTTGCACGTTAAAAAAAAATAATTTTAGGCCTGAAAACTACACAAAACCCCAAACATTATATATTTTCTGAAAGCAGGGGTGGCTGCCAACTTAGCATGGTGTGTAGAAGCATTTGGGTGTCACCGTAGCTGCCTGAATGCTTCCACCTAACAAGTAAGCCCTGCTGCTTGCCCACAGCAGGGCTAAATGGAAACAAAAAACCTGTCCAGTGCCCAGAACTGCATGTCCCAGGCGTCAGGTGAGACAAATCGCACACCCCTGAGGACATAAGACTTGCATTTAAAGATCATGGGTTATATGCAGGCTACCTTCAGGTGATTGGAAACTGGCAAAAAATCTTGCCAGGACTGTCTCTAGTGCACACTCATAACCCCACCCACTCTTTGAGACTCCAGTTTTTATCAAGCAATAAGGAATGATCAAGACACAGAGGAGAGTGGCCTGTGTCCTTTACCATATTCCTATATAAGGAATGTACAGGCAAGTCAAAATTCTTACTATCCTAATCATACAGTACAGGACTTGGATTCATGGACAATGGGACATCCCCAAGCAACAAACTCAAAGGGTGGGCAACAACACAGGAAAAACAAAACTGCCAATACACCCACAAAAAGAGAGAGGGGATTAAAAAAAAACTAAAACACTTAAGTGATAGCAAGAAGCACCTTGTGGCCAAAGCTCACAGTAGAAGAGGCCTGAATATCCACCAAAAGGAACTTCTGGACCAGAGAGAGGAGTGAGGACCAGAGGGGGTCTTGAAAACGTGGGATAAAGATGTTTGATGTTGAAAAGCCCAAGAAACACCAACAGTCCTGGTGGAGCTCTGAGAGGGAAGGGAGGAACTCTTTAATTAAAGACCAAGTTCACCTTTCGGAACAGGCTAAAGTTACAAGCTATACAAATATAGCAACCACTATAATTTATAACTAGCCTTTGAAGTATGATGCAAAGTGAAGGGCACTGCACATCACAACAAACTAAAAAGTTCCCAGCACACTTACCAGCCTGCAAAAAAAAAAAGGACCCTGTCTATCTAAGGGCTCGTGTACATGGGGCATTTGGAAAACTCATCTAAACTATGGAAATTGACTGCTGGAAAACGTAGGTTAAAAAACGTCAGTTTAGCCGTGTTTGCATACCGGCGTTTATGTTTAGAAGCGTTTTTAAAAGAAAACCTCTGGAGACCTTCCCAAATGCCCAGAATACACTGAAAAATAGTAAATTAACTATTTTAGACATTTTGAGAGAAAATAGAGAGAGCAGAAGCAGAGAGATCAGTATGTGTTGAGATCACCTATCTTTTCTGGTTCACGTGAAACCTGGAACTAACTGGAGACTCTCAAAAATTAGTCAGGATCACACTATAAAGGAGGAGCCTTGGTGAGGCAGTGCAGCTTCCACATCTACAGTATTGGCATGTATGCAATGAAACCCTCTCCTTTTAACGAGAATTGATAGACAGGGTGAAATTGGTTATTTTGCAGGCTAGCTGGTAAATGTGCTGTGAATTATTTTTGTTTGTTTGTAAGGTTAAATGTTACACCTGTATTTAGGGGAGAAGATGCTTTTTACCAGCAGACCAAAAATGATGTGCATATGCACAAAGAACAGGGACTTTCAAGAGACTTGGCAAATTAAATTCTTTAGAGCAAGGTTTCTGAACCAGGGTTCCATGGAACATGAGGGTTCCTCCAGAGGTTGCTAGAGGTTCCTTGGGCAAGGACTAATTTTTGCCTCTCTGATAAGTTTTCCTACTGATACCATTGATCTTTTTAGCTATCTGTAAGGGTGTAATTCTTCCCAATAGCCAGAAGTGTAAGAAGCATTCTTCCCACTGACCGGTACACTAATGTATCATGCGTTGTAGATATAGTAACAGTTCCTCTGTGTCAAGACAAAACAATTATTCTAGGAGACCAGGGTAATCAAAGACATGTCCATTGTCTCTGTTCATTTGTGTTGTCCCTCTGCTTCCCTATTAAAAAAAACTGACCACATTTAGCAGGAGAGCACAGAGTGTTCAGTTTTCCAGCTATGCTGGGAACTCAGCCTGCTCTCCTTCAATGATCAGACTTGTCCTGACACAAAGCCCCACACAGCCATTAAATAGGAAGATCAGTGTGCTGCTGTTTATCATCCCCTAGCTTTTATGCAGCTGAGAACAGAGGGAATTAATAATGTGTTTTATATCCATACACAAATGTTTTGCCTTTTATTTCTATTTTAAACTGAATGAGTTGTTTTACAAGGTGAGGGTTTACAATAACTTTAAGCTCCATGTGCACAAGGCCTAAATCTAAAGACAAACCCATCCAGATTGTTGTTAAACATGGAGACCATAAGGTTCTTATTCAGAGTTCACCACCTGTGACACCTTTCCTCAAACACCTCTGGGTGTAGGGACCAGGGAAGGATATGGACTACGTCTTACAGAGTGAATTGATTCTGATGGTCAATGTACGCCACGGCTGTAGCGTACTCCAACAAAATCTAGAGTGGATGAACTTCTAGCATAATGGTTTAAAGTTCCAAGATCTTGAGCAGATGAGACTCCAACAACGTTCATGACTGCTGCAGTAACAGGGTACCTAGGCTTTTTCCCTAGCCTGACAGGTTTTCAACTATTTTGAGGATCTTCCAAAATATGGGAGTGAAGAATTCCCCAATTCTGGAGCTAAAAATATTAGGAGGCCAGGGCTGGGATCCTGAGACACCAAGCCAGGGACAAAATGATCCTTGACGCCAAATGAGTTCTGTCAGGGACCTGATGACTGTCCCACAACAACAGACTGTTGTGATGAGAGATCTGGAATGAACTGGTCAAAAGTGCAAAAGTTGAAAAACCCAAAATGTTTTGCCATAGGAACTGGAGCAATGACACTGTGATCAAGAAGACACTAGAGGGCTCAATGAAGATCTGCAGATGTGTGGAGATACAGCAAGGTTGGGGATTATAAACAGAGGAGGAGATAATTGAAATTCCAGATGTAGCCCTGGGACACCACAACCTGCATCCAGGCAGCTGGGATGCAAGCAATCCAAGTACCTGCAAAAGGTTAAAGTGTAGCCCCCCCCCCCCCCTAAAAAGTCAGGGCGTACCTTCATGCAGAGAGAGGCTTGCCTGAGAACATGGCACACTTACAGTTTTAATCTTTGCAGACAGACTGGGGCCCAGCTTGATGGGGTCTTTATGAAGAAGTGGAATGAGCAGAGAAGACAAAGGGAAAGTTTAAACATTTAAACAAGAGACTGAGCAACCTGTTGCTCAGGTGTCTTTCATAGAGGAAGATGGGTGCTTATATCATCCTTGACAATAGAAAGCAAGAGTCAGTCAAAGAGGGTGTCCCCAATGGTCATGGGGATTAAAAGCGTCTTGCAAAAGGAATTCATTGTGCTGCATTTGAACCAAAGCGTCTTATGCATAAGTATTGACATGAGACAACTGACATGAGAGATGAGATGGGAGGCCTCCAACAGGCTTTCAGTGTTGAAATTTAAAGCTACAGCTATCTTTGCCATACTTTGAAGCACAGACTGTGTTGTAATTGTAGTGGAAGCAGGACTACTGAATGAACACCAGTGAGAAAAAAATGGAAAAAAAAAAAAAAAAAAACTGTGCCTGGTTCCCCTATTTGCACAGAAAGCATAGGGTTTGGCAGTTCAACCTAAGGATGAGAAAACAAAGCAGTGAAATCCTGTTATAGCTGAAACACACAGGTTATAATCACTGGGAGTACAAAGCTATCACAGATAAAAACACCAATATGGAAAGCTGGGAAAACCTGCGATCAGTGTTCACACACTACCCAGTAGGATACTATTTAATAAATAAGAGCGCTTAAGACCTGATAAAATTCATAACATGAACACTTCAGAGGTGGGGGTCTGAGGAACTGGTGCAACTTAGGTACCAATAACTCAGTAAGGAATCCCCAGGCAAGCCAGACCTAAATAGCAAAGTCCTGCGATAATGGGATGTCACTAGCTGCAGGTTTGTCATAGAGAGATCACTAAAATAAAACTGGGAAAACCTGCGCTAGTTGACTGAATAGAGAGACTTCAAGGATTGCACATCCAGTAAGAATCTGAACAAATCGTGGCTAACTGGAGAAACCATCAAGTATTTTAATACATCAGACATGGGTCTACTAGGTCTGTTGACTAACTGGAGAGACCTTCATGATTTCATATATCCAGCACAAATCTACCCAGCAGCTTGCAGATAGTGGAAAAGCCTTCCAGAAATTCATCCAAACAGCAGAATTGAAGAAAACATGTAAAATTTTCTGAGAACACTAGCAAACATGGTTGTGGGAAGGACTATCCTTTTCTGGTCAACTACCTTTTTTGTCACCATTTCTCCTGTAGAGGACAATATCATTCAAAAAGACAAAAAAAAAATAAGAATTCCTGTTTACCTCAATGGAGGATAAGGAATCAATATACTGCAGTTTATCAGTCCTTAGCTGTGGTGTCAGAATTAGTTTTCTTTTTTCCCTGGTGATCTTGCCAGGAACACTCTCTGTTCCAGGGTGACTATGCTCACTCAAGGTATTGTATGTATGGAGAAGAAGCGCTATCACCCTAGGACAGAAAATATATTAGAACTACAGAACACCACCACCTCTCCATAACATGGGTGAGGGGGGTTGTTCTTTAGTTCAAAGAGAACTGGGAACAAAGCTAACGCTTGATAATGAACAGAGATGACTAATACAACACACATATACAAAACTGAGCTCATACCAAGCTCCCGTGATTCAGAGACTCTTAACTCCGGAACGTACTTGTTCTTTACAGTCCTGGGGAAAATCCCAGCTTTCCTTGGTGCTTCCTCTGGAGGATTATTCAGGTGCTACAGAAAAAAAAAAAATACAAAAGAAGGTCAGGAAGATAGTGGACAGTCTGGCATGAGGTTTATTAAAAAAACAAAAAAGCAAAAAATAAAAAACAACTTTCTATGTAACATTAAAATGAAATAAACCACAACAACCTATGACAGTAGACTATGAATTATACCAGCATTCATACTATTTAATTCCTTAACCTGGTCACAATTAGGTGATATTTTCACATAATATGAATATTTTGCTGCTAACATTCAACAATTCCAAAATGTATTGTGCATAAACTATGATATGGGACCCCTGCATGAGCATTCAGGAATGAAAGTGGTGGGAGACCAGGGAATGGGAAGGTGGAATGAGCAAGGAATTGCTCAACTCTGAACACTCCTGGGTTTAAATATGTAAGGATATCTGTGGGTGCAGCCATGTAACCTGCAGATCAGGGACTCTTCATGCAATTACAAACATAAAAAAATGTGTTACTGCATGTACATGGGACTGAAGGGCCCCTAAATATTTTAAGAAGCATCACATAGATATAATTTGCCCAACTAAGTATGAATGAGAGTTCTATCTGAAATGCATTTTCCCTATGAAAAACTGACAAGGGTGATTGGGCCATGGAGTCAAAATAACAGTGACTTTGAGCTGCAGCTGTGGAGTTATTTTTACAGTCACTTCTCTAGACGCTAAATGATGATGAACTGTCTTTAATGGCTATGTCAAGTCAATTTTCTCAGTATTAGACACCAGAAGGTTTCACAGACAGCTAACCAGTTCTGATTGGTAACAAAAATCTCACTAACAGTCTATGGCATTTATACATAGAAAAGAAGGGTAAGGGATTTAAAAAGTTAACAGTTACAAAAATGTGATACTGGATGTATGCTATAATACAGTTCTAAAATTTCTAGTGCTATAAGATTCTTTTTTTTTTTTCAAAAGCTGAAGTTTAAAGTGGAACTTTAGTCAGAAAATTAAGTAGAGGTCGATCTGCTGACAGCCTTAAAGCAGAATAAAACCCTCCTATCCTTTCCAGCCAATGAAGCTGCTTCTGTTTGATCTGCAACTGCCATGGTGATGAACATATGATCAGTTTTAACACCAGTCATTTGATGGTTTGACAGTTTGGTTGAGGATACAAGCAAAGGTGACAGTTAGCAATTCCCGCATTCCAGGAATGTAACTGTTTTTTGAAACCGGTAAATAAATGGGTTTAATTCCACTGATATACTGTTGTTCGGAGACCCTGGGCTTAAGCAAAATAGCAAAAGAAACAGGAACAATGCTAGAGGCAATTTCCAGCACACACTAATTTGGCAAACATAATTTTTAATGTGGAATGTATGCTCCATTTTAAGGAACATGATGAACATGCAAATTTAGCCAGGGCTCAACAATCCCAGGCGACGAGTCGCCACATAAACCGCGTCCTGGTGCCAGGGCCCCCGCCAGCCCACACTGTCCTACACTCCCCTATTCAGCGTCTTTGTCCGGCTCCTCTCCCCAAACCTCACAAAGTGGAGCCCTCCCCAAGTGCACAGAGCCCTCTCCCAGGCAAAGAACCCCCCCCATCCCCTACAGCCCCCGAAAGCACAGACACTGTGCACACCACCACACACAGGCAAAGAAAGCCCATGGAGTGGAGGATGTGGCCCCCCGCAGTGACTGCCCCATCCACACCACTGATGCGGATGCAGCGCCGCACACCGGAGCCCGCCAAGGCCGACATCAAAGTGACAGACAACACATGCGGCTCCCCCCTGGAAGAGCACAACATGCAGACGGGAGTCACCGAGGCCACAAAGTCCTGCCACCTGTGTTAAAACTGAGAGCCCCACCTCCAGCACAGCGCTGAGCACCCCCACCGACCACAACCAAGGGGACAGAGGCTCAACTACCCATCCTGGCATCAGATCCTCTCCACTGACACCATCTGGAGGAGCTGCTTCTGGACAGGTGAGATCTGGGAGGACTGGTGCTTCCCAGGGTGTGCCCCCTACCTGTCCCCCTCCCGTGACTTTCCCCCCCCTCTCGTGACACTTCCCCCTCCTGTCCTGCTGTCTCCTCTCGTGACACTTCCCCCTGTCCAGCTGCCCCCCCGCCTGGCCCCCAATTTTTTAGCTGGCTCCTAGATTAAAAGAATATTTGTCAAGCCCTGAATTAAGTTATCAAAGAATACCTGTCTCTGTGCTCACCTATGCAATGTAGGCAGATTATGGCAGGTGGGGGGGGGGGGGGGGGGCAGCGTGAGGCAGCAGTGTTCTACATAGAAAATATCACAGTGCCCTCCTTCAGTATGTCTTTTAAGAGCCTTCAGCCCTGATGTAGGCAGTGATCAGGTTCTTGGGAGCAGCCACGTAAACATCAAATGAGATGGATATCCCAGGGCAGGCTGTTTTTGCACGCAGGTTTCATAGGCAATACCCACATATGATGATGAGCCTCTATGATTGAAAGAACCAAAATCCAGTAAATAAAAAAGGTGGGTCAAGGACAGTCAGGCTGGAGAGAAAAAAAAGCTAGATGATGCTGGATGTCCTCTAGAAAAGAAATGAGGCAGGTTTTGTCTGACTTGCTGCAGTTTTTAATGCACATTGTGAAAAGCTCACAGTGTGCAGTGAAATCACAGTAAGCAATTTCAATGCAGGAGAGGAGCCTGTAAATCTGTGCAAGACTGAAATTAAGGCTGGAGTTCAGCTTTAATATTTCCAATCAAATTTACCATGTCACTCAATTCCTTAAAAGACAAAAGGGGCTGTATATGCTTTTTGAAATAAAGCCTCTCTGCATTCTACTCTTTTCATGGACTTGATTTGTGTACACGTATGGGGATTTACTACTCTAGCAAAGCTGAGAAGTCAACAATTAGGAGAAGGCATGGTTGCATGCTATTCCCGAGCAGCAGCATTTGTTGGCATTTCTGGTAAGGATCATACTCACACCGGAAGCCACTTACTTAGGGAAAAAAGAAAAACAGCAGGTTTTGCTGACTAATATGTGCCAGATTTATTTACTGTTGAGGGAGTTAATTCTCACTGTTGAGGGAGCTAATTAATTGACAAAGCAAGATCTAATAAAAGGAGAAGCATTACCTCAATGGCTTTAGCAGCCTGTACTTGATTCTCAAACTCAATAAATGCAAATCCTTTTGGGTCACCTGTGGATTTGTATCTGGGAATGCTGATATAGACAACCGTTCCACATTTACCAAAAACACGATCAATCCAGCTGTGGGTAACATTCTTGGGAAGTAGTTCCTGAGAATAGAAAGCAACACATGAAAACAAACTAGTATTCAGCAAAGCCAAGTAAAACAGTAGGAACAGTTTGAAATATACTTGATGGCAATGGCAGCTTACCAGCCCTTGGATTTGAATTTGTTTTAATTTTATACCCATTGATCTGGCCTTGGCAAATATGAAATGGAGGGTTATTTTATTTCCAAGCAATCCTCTGAACTACTAATTCCCCCACCCCCTAAGTAATGGAGATGAAGAGGAAGACAGGTTTGTATAGTGTGACATGGTTGCCAAACAAATACAGTACAGTGAATGAGCACGGTCGCTAGAGTTGTGAAATTTGCAGGATCACAATGTGAAAAGTAAAAGGACAAAAAAAAAAAAAAAAAACAAATGCAGCCACCACATCTAAGGATTGGTAACCTTCAATATATTACATTTTTGTTGTTGGGTTTACAAACTACTTAAAGCGGAGTCCAGCTGAAAAAAAAATGAAAAAGGCAGCAGCTACAAAAACTGTAGCTGCTGACTTTTAAAATACAGCCACTTACCTGTCCCTTGGTCCAGCGGTGTCCTCACCACGGCCGGGTGCCCACCGCACATGCGTGAGAAGCGCTGCGCTTTGTGAATGGCTCCGTAGTCTTCCGGGACCTCTCACATGTCCCAGTAGACTACGGGGAGCAAAGGGGGGAGGGGGGTGAACAACTTCTGCTTCCGATCGCCTTAGGCAATCGCAGCGGAAGTGGGAGCGGGTACCTGTCAAATTTGGGTACTTGCAAGCCCCCCCCCCCCCCCAAAGGTGCCAATCCTTCATGGAGAGCAGGGGACAAAGACTTAAAGCGGAACTTCCTCTTTTGGGTGTAGCTTCGCTTTAAAGTGGTTATAAACCCTCACATATACCCAGTGAAGTGACTGGCCTCAGGTGACACAGAAATTAAACAAATACTCCTAAGCAAGGTTGTATCTGTTTATCTGCAGCCGTCTTTCCTCTACATCCTTTCAAAGTGCAGAGTTTATACAGGACCTCTCACTAAAAAGCAGAGGGTGGGGAGCTGCAACTGCACACTGCACAAAAGCTCTGAGAGCTGGTTGAAGGGAAGGGACACAGCCCCTTCACACTGCTCACAGAAACAGAGCAGAGCCTGTCAATCTACTGGAGCTCCCTCCCGCCATCATTTTTCACTTGGTGTCAAGAAAACTCCTCAGAAGTGACTCATGCTGATAGTAGATGAAGGAGGCAGCAGACAGAAATGACAATTAGTACTCTGAATTGAGTTAAGTACACACCATAAGGGGATATGCTTTGTTCATATTTCATGTCTGAGGTTTACAACCAAATACTTTACATACAATAGAGACATCAAAGCAGAGCTCCACCCAAAAGACAACCTCACCCCTCCTCTACCTAACTTGGCATGTCATTTTGCATCCCCCCCCCTTCCAAGGCGATCCAAGCAGAAGTTCTTTTCCCCCCCCTCCCTCCCCGCAGTCTTCTGGGACAAGTTACTGGTCCTAGAAGACTGCTGGACCAGAGCAGCTCGAACATGCACAGTGGGCAGCTGACTGTGAAGCCGAAAGTAGGATGCTGGTTCCGGGAACCCGGAGACTAGTGAAGAACTAGGCTGTTTGAGAGCAGCGCTGGATCCTTGGACAGGTAAGTGTCCATTTATTAAAAGTTAGCAGCTACAGGATTTGTAGCTGCTGACTTTTTTTATTTTTTCTATAGCGAGCCACAGCCTGCACCTGTTGTGGATTGATCTGGATTGTTTGCCTGAGCGGTATACCTCTGTTCTTTACATTTCATCAATAGCCAGCAGCCTCATTTTCTATAACTCTGAGAATGCAAAAATTGCACTGGCCTTGTAAATCACACTTTCTTCTGGAAAATATCACTTGTTTGTCTTTTATAGACCATGGTGCATATGGAATTTACTGAGATTTAATTTAATGTTCAGCCAAAGAAGTGTCTAAAGAACTGAAAATACAGCTGCCCAAGTAAAACGTTACTAAGTATGGAAGGTTAATGGGAGTAAAAAAGCCCACACACAGATAGTGGGAGTATTAAATACCCTTGCATCAGTGGGAGTAAAATATGCCTTTTGTTGGTGGACAGCGTTTGTAAAAAAAAAAAATGCCCCTGTATCTTGTGTCAGTGGGGTTTTAGAAATGCCCTGACAAAAAAACCTCTGCAATGGTGGTCAGTGGGGGCAAAAAAATCCTTGCTTTGGGTGCCGAGTAGGACTAATAAATTCACTAGCACTGGTAGCTGGTAGTCAGCATGAGTAATAATTTGCATCTGTTCCATTGGACTGAGCAACAGGCCATAATTTGGAGACCTGTGATCTATCTTAAACGATAATTTAGTATTAGGGCTTTTTTCTATCAGAGAATAGGTGCAGATACTCACTCATTTCCACCCCCCCCCCCCCCCCATCAAATTGTGGGTGTGGTCAAAGCTCAAAACAGCATATTGTTTAAGGTTCAGGAATGCGTAATGCACAAAGTAAAGGACTCAGGAAGGAATACCACTTAGGGCACAGGACTGTGCATCCCACAGGGAGCAGGAGTGGGTAACACAGACCAGTGTATAACCAAACATTACTCCCCCCCCACCCCAGTACAGAGATCCCCCCCCTCCCCACAGTACAGTACTATTAGACATTGGGGGGTTTAACAAAAGGGAAATATGCCAATTATGTTGTGTGAATATCAGCACATTTTCCATGTGCTAAATGAACAATGTCATTACACTTCTAGGTGTTGTTGTGCCAACCATGCCAAATCATGCAACAAATTATTGCGATGTCATGTGAAATATATATAGTACAAAAAATGCTACAGACAGGACAGTTACTTACAGTCTCTGGCCATCTCTGGTATCCTGCCACCAGTCTCTGGCCGTCTTTGGCCACCGTCTCTGACCGTGGCATCCTGTCACCAGTCTCTGGCCGTCTTTGGCATCCTGCCACCAGTCTCTGACCGTCTCTGGCATCCTGCCACCAGTCTCTGACCGTCTCTGGCATCCTGCCACCAGTCTCTGACCGTCTCTGGCATCCTGCCACCAGTCTCTGACCGTCTCTGGCATCCTGCCACCAGTCTCTGACCGTCTCTGGCATCCTGCCACCAGTCTCTGACCGTCTCTGGCATCCTGCCACCAGTCTCTGACCGTCTCTGGCATCCTGCCACCAGTCTCTGACCGTCTCTGGTATCCTGCCACCAGTCTCTGACCATCTCTGGCATCCTGCCACCAGTCTCTGACCATCTCTGGTATCCTGCCACCAGTCTCTGACCATCTCTGGTCTCCTGCCACCAGTCTCTGACCATCTCTTGTATCATGCCCATTGTCTTTGACGATTTCCTGTGCTGTGTCTCTGATACTGAATATTCACTGAATTTTATGTACAGCCCTTTGATGATGCTGAGGACCGCATTTGAGGCCCCCATATCAAGAAAGTTGACCACCATGGTCTATGTCCTTGTGTATTGCTGTACACAATTTACTTAGTTCCCACTTCAATATGAATATATAAAACAAAATTATCAATAACCATATACTCTTTAAAAGTAGAAGCGTTGGAACCACTTACTGCATATACAGTACGGTCATCCACATCCTCAGGTTTGTCCCCAAGTGGAAGCCTTCTCCTGATTTTTGTATTTTCTAAATTCATCTTGAAAAGAAAAAAAGAATTAGATCTGCTTTTGTTTGGATGGTATCTTTGCATTTCAAATACATACACTCACGGGTACACCATGCTAGTTCCAGAAAAAATACCCACCACACCATTACACACACTACCACCACCAGCCTTTACTGTTGATACAAGGCAGGATGGATCCGTGCTTTCATGTTGTTTATGCCAAATTCTGACTCTACCATCTGAATGTTGCAGCTGAAATCAAATGCCCATTCTCCTCCGACATCAATAAGGTATATCCATGTACACAATTGCTACTCACTGGACATTTTCTTTTTTTTTGGACCATTCTCTGTAAACCCTAGGGATGGTTGTGTGTGAAAATCCCAGTAGATCAGCAGTTTTTTAAAAATACTCAGACCAGCCCATCAGGCACCAACAACCATGCCACATTCAAAGTCACTTAAATCCCCATTCTGATGCTCAGTTTGAACTTCAGCAAGTCGTTTTCACCATATCTAGATGCCTACATGCAGTGAGTTTCTGCCATGTGATTGGCTGATTAGCAATTTGCTTTACTGAGCAATTGAACAGGTGTATAGTGGCTGGTGAGTGTATAAAATGGCCATGTGCTATGCTTAGCAAGCACCTCTGTGCTTGCTGGGATACCATAAAATCTGGGGCAGTATGATTTACAAACAGCAACCAGCCTCCCCAACCAGTAATGAGGCATGTAAGGAAGGGAAGGCCAGAACTGGCAACCAAAGGAGATAGTCTGTACATGCATATAAGAACACCCCAAGTTTTCTATTGTCCTGGAATACATTGCAGAAAATCAGATTATAAGTAGCAGTGTTATATACTGTTAAGACACATATGTTTACAGAAATACTGTCAAGTTACCCATGTAAGACCCCATCCCAAACCAGTTATACACACACCTTACTAGTTAGCATTAAAATCCCTGGTTCAGCTGGGGTCAGATGATGGGAGGAGAGGGTCATGTAATAATGGTCAGGTCTAGCCATTGGCTAGGTCACGTGTTCCCCCATACCTGTTTCACTGGGTAATGCTGCCAATGGTGACAGTGGGGTGAATTTATAAAAGGCAAATAGACTGTGCAATTTGAAAGTGCAGTTGCAGCAGAGCTTAGTAAATGAGGGGAAAAACTGCTGACTTCCATTGCCGAATCATATACAAGCACAAATGCTGTTTTTTTTTTTTTTCTTGTATGTGATTGGGTATTCTTTACAAAAATAAGCTTCATCTCATTTACGAAGCTCTGGAGCAACTTCACTAGCAAAATGCACAGTCTATTTGTCTTTAGTAAATCAACCCCAATGTCTCTTTCAGGACATGAATTAGTTATAAGAAACCTACTCACCTCCACAACTAAAGAATTCTTGACAGCTCTGGCAATAAGTTTAGTATCTGTAGTCAGTTTCTTCATCTTATTAAATGAGGCCAGTAGAGAAATATCAATAACTGGAAAAAAAAAAACAATTATAGAAGACATACTATTATTGCAGTGTTCATAATTATCTATGTGTTCTATTAGTTTAATCCTGTTTGGTACATTTTAGAAACAATTTTCATATAACGAGGAATGTAAAAAAGTAACATATAGATGAAAATTCACCATTTTTCAGAAAGTTTGCTTCTGATGGAATAATTTAAGATGACTGTGTAGTCTGTAAATTACCGTAATCTGGCATACTATCAAGTGAGATGATGGAAGCTCAGTGGATGTAGTTTATGCGGTACATTATCAAATGTTTTAATAAAATCAAGATAAACATTTTATTATGCACACTGCTGCCAGACTTACCTACCTTACCAACCGCTCAGTGTCCGCTGCCCCTTTCTGCCAATCCCTGCACTGGCTTCTGATTGCCCAGCAAATTAACAAAGCTATTCACAACTCTGCCCCGAGCTATATCACCAGTCTCCAAATATCACCCAAACCATTCTCCCCGCTCCTCTCATGATCTCCTGCTCTCAAGCTCTATGTCTCCTCCTCCCATGCTCGTCTCCAGGTCTTCGCCAGAGCCTCTACCATCCTCTGGAACGCTCTACCTCGATCTGTCTGGCTATCCCCTACAATGGTTGCCTTTGGGTGATCCCTGAAAACTCCTCTCTTCAGGGAAGCCCATCACACCTACATTTAAACATCACTTCCATCAGCTCATCCCCCACAGTTGTAACCTTTTGTACCACTTGCCCCACTCCATTTGATTGTAAGCTCTTATGAACAATGCCCTCTTAATCCTCTTGTATTTTATTGTATTGTAACTTTACGGTCTTCCTCTATATTGTAAAGTGCTGAGCAAACTGTTGGCGCTGTATAATAATAATAAATGTTTAAATGATTTAGTAACATGTCATCTATATTTAGGGTCATTAGGCAGCATCCACAGCTCACCCCCTTATTCCCAACTGTTACAGTGGGTGGGGTTCTTCTCCCCTCACTTGTCACAATTTAAAAGCAGCGTAGATGTGCAGGGGCTCTGCCTGCACAACTGTGTATCATTCACAGGAATCAGTGAAATGAAAAAAAACGACAAGTTCCGTTCACCACCACGGCAGACAGATCTGCAGTTTGAATGAACTGCAGGCAAGTGGATAAGCATACCCATAGTTTTTTCACAATGTCTACAGCTCAGGAAATGTCTGCCTGTACAGAGGCACAAGAAGAGAGCTCTAGGCAGTGTGCACAGGAGGCCAGCATTACAGCCACGATCCACTGATTGCAGGTGCAAGGCTCTTTTACCTGCAAAAATGTGTGCATTTATTATTTTTTTTCAATAAGTGAACTTAGACAATAATCTATAAAAAAGGCCTGTTGGAGTTGATGAAAATAATATGTACATGGATAGGAAACTGGTTACATGTCCAGAGAGTAGTGACAAAGGACTCATTCCCTGAAAGGTCTAAAGTTGCGAGTGGTGTGCCCTTGGGATGAGTGGTTTGTCTTGGGGTTAATTCTGTTCAATTTGTTTATTAATGATATAAAGAAGGGGTATTGAATTAAAATTCACTGAGGTCAGTAAATGTTCTTTGAGCAGAAGTATTAATCACATATTTGGTTCTTAATGGCACCTCGGTACATTGGCAAACGTGGCTTGAAAAATGTGGTATGTATTTCAAAATGAAGAATTAAAGAGTTGTTTGGCCACAGTAATAGTAAACAGGTTGTTGAAAATCTAAGATGGAATTTTAGGACACAAAACGTACCAACTGTGAAGAATGGTGGTGGAAATGGTATAACATGGGGTTGCTTTGCTACTTCAGTTCGGGCAGCTTGAAATAGTCAAGCCAACTGTAAATTATGAGTGCTTGATAAGAATGTCAGGTCATCTATGCAAAAACTGAACCTGATCCACAAATCACTCTTTCAACATAATCATAAACCAAAGCACACTAACAAAATCACCAAATAATGGTTCAAAAAAAAAAAAAAAAATGGTGGATTATAGACTGCCTAACCAAAATCCTGATTTAACTCATATTAAAATGTTGTGTGGCAATATCAAAATGTGCAGTTCATGTAAAGAAACCAGCAAATATCTTGCAACTGCATGAAATTTGCATGGAAAAAGTGGTCAAAAATGTCACATTGACATTAAGACTGGTGGGCAGTTTAAAAAAAAAAAAAAAAAAAAATCACTAGAAAAAGTAGTTTCTGCTAAAGGGAGCAATACCAGTTTCTTAGGTGAAAAATAATTTTCCACAGTAAACAATTACATCCATTTGTATTCTTGTTGAATAAAAAACAGAAAAGAAAAAAAATTTTCTTAGTGGTGTTCATTCAAGTATATCGTCATTATATGCAGACACTGTTTGGATGTAAGCTCTGATCATATTTTGGAATCCAAACATACCCATTCGATAAAAGCCAGACAGGCTGCTGTACACACAGATCAATTCTCAGCCATTTGTACCAGCCTTAACCCCTTGACGCCAGCCACAAGCAAATTTGTGGCCTCACGAAACTGGGCTTTTTTTCTGTGGGGCCGCTAATTTGCATACCTGTCTTTCTACTGGGAGTGTGCCGCAAGGGGTAGTCACCGAGAACCTCAGGTCCTGTTCTCACGATCGGGACCCGGAACTCCCGATTCTGGGTCACCTATTGCTGTGATAGCCTCTGATTGGCTATTACAGTGGTCAGTCACTGTGAAGCCCACCCTCCTTGTTTTCTCTTTCTGAATGGAGGAGAGCGATACATTGTAACTCTCTCTGTCCTTTCAGAGAGGAAAAAAAAAAAGTGTGTGTGTTAAAAATATATATAAATAAAAAAATAATAATAAAAAGATAAATATACCTAGATCAGTGCCATGGTTAGTGTTTGGATCAAGGTCAGGGTCAAGGTCAGTATTATTTTTGTCAGAATCTTTTTTTTTTCTAAATGTTTAAATTAGAATCTGTGTCAGTTAGTGCCAGGATTAAAAAAAAAAAAAAAAAAAAAAAAAGCAAAAAGGCACACTATTGTTTCTGGGTTGTACAATGGGTACAAACAACAACTAACATACACATGTGGTATACATGTGGTATAGCTGCAATTGTCAGGAGCAGTAGAAATTATTTTGGATTATTCTTTGGTGGTTGGTTATGGCAGCAGCAAGAAATAAACAGCTAAATTAAAAAAAAAGATTTTTTTTTACTATTTTGGGTCAGTTTTCCTTTGATAATAAAAAACAAAAAAATCTGGGAGATATCCATTACCATTTACCACCAAATGAAAGCCCAATTTGTCCCGAAAAAAACAAGGTATAATCCACCTGCATGCACAAAGTAGTTGTGATGATATGTACGATTTTGCTAACACATTTCAAAGTTGCAAAATTGTGCTTAGGCTTTAAGACCTGTTTTACCCTTAGGCATGAAGAGGTTAAGGAATAAAGTTAGAACAGGAAGACCAGTACGTGAGCCAGCTTAAGGGCTGGTTCACATAACATGCAGTCCACTGCGTTTTTGATCATGAAAAATGCATGCACAGTGTTCAATGTATTCCAATGGTCCTAGTTTATGCCAGTGCAGTCAACAAAAGAAGAACATGCTACATAATTTTTTTCTGTATAGAACGCATCTGGAAAGTTGCTAAACGCATCAAACCCCCACCTGAACACAAAGGAAATGCATCAAAAATGCACATGTCCTCAACTGAGATGAAGCACAAAAAAAAAAAGAAAGGGGGGAAAACACACCAGAACACATCAAAATGCACCTAAGCATATAAACGACACATACAAAACCACAGTCGAAACACAGAAATTGTGGTGTGAACCGGCCTTAAAAGAGTCAAGCCAGTTGCAGTCAGTGTACGGACACTTTAAAAAGGCCAAATGGAAGGGCATATCAAGTCCCTTGGATGGGCCTCTCTCTGCTACAGTCAGGTCCATAAATATTGGGACATCGACACAATTCTAACATTTTTGGCTCTATACACCACCACAATGGATTTGAAATGAAACGAACAAGATGTGCTTTAACTGCAGACTGTCAGCTTTAATTTGAGGGTATTTACAGCCAAATCAGGTGAACGGTGTAGGAATTACAACAGTTTGCATATGTGCCTCACACTTGTTAAGGGACCAAAAGTAATGGGACAATTAGCTTCTCAGCTGTTCCATGGCCAGGTGTGTGTTATTCCCTCATTATCCCAATTACAATGAGCAGATAAAAGGTCCAGAGTTCATTTCAAGTGTGCTATTTGCATTTGGAATCTGTTGCTGTCAACTATCAAGATGAGATCCAAAGAGCTGTCACTATCAGTGAAGCAAGCCATCATTAGGCTGAAAAAAACAAAACAAACCCATCAGAGAGATAGCAAAAACATTAGGCGTGGCCAAAACAACTGTTTGGAACATTCTTAAAAAGAAGGAATGCACCGGTGAGCTCAGCAACACCAAAAGACCCAGAAGACCACGGAAAACAACTGTTGTGGATGACCAAAGAATTCTTTCCCTGGTGAAGAAAACACCCTTCACAACAGTTGGCCAGATCAAGAACACTCTCCAGGAGGTAGGTGTATGTGTGTCAAAGTCAACGATCAAGAGAACACTTCACCAGAGTGAATACAGAGGGTTCACCACAAGATGTAAACCATTGGTGAGCCTCAAAAACAGGAAGGCCAGATTAGAGTTTGCCAAACGACATGTAAAAAAGCCTTCACAGTTCTGGAACAACATCCTATGGACAGATGAGACCGAGATCAACTTGTACCAGAGTGATGGGAAGAGAAGAGTATGGAAAAGGACTAAGCATACCACCTCATCAGTGAAGCATGGTGGTGGTAGTGCCATGGTGTGGGCATGCATGGCTGCCAATGGAACTGGTTCTCTTTGTATTTATTGATGATGTGACTGCTGACAAAAGCAGCAGGATGAATTCTGAAGTGTTTCGGGCAATATTATCAGCTCATATTCAGCCAAATGCTTCAGAACTCATTGGCGCCGCTTCACAGTGCAGATGGACAATGACCCAAAGCATACTGCAAAAGCAACCAAAGAGTTTTTTTAAGGGAAAGAAGTGGAATGTTATGCAATGGCCAAGTCAATCACCTGACCTGAATCCGATTGAGCATGCATTTCACTTGCTGAAGACCAAACTGAAGGGAAAATGCCCCAAGAACAAGCAGGAACTGAAGACAGTTGCAGTAGAGGCCTGGCAGAGCATCACCAGGGATGAAACCCAGCGTCTGGTGATGTCTATGCGTTCCAGACTTCAGTCTGTAATTGACTGCAAAGGATTTGCAACCAAGTATTAAAAAGTGAAAGTTTGATTTATGATTATTCTGTCCCATTACTTTTGGTCCCTTAACAAGTGGGAGGCACATATGCAAACTGTTGTAATTCCTACACCGTTCACCTGATTTGGATGTAAATACCCTCAAATTAAAGCTGACAGTCTGCAGTTAAAGCACATCTTGTTTGTTTCATTTAAAATCCATTGTGGTGGTGTATAGAGCCAAAAATTTTAGAATTGTGTCAATGTCCCAATATTTATGGACCTGACTATGTACAAAGCTACAGTATATTATATGTACTGGGCAAGTTCTCTACAGGCAGAGAAAACAAACTGGCAACAAGTCTCCAAACAGTTCCAGATAGTGTGCAATTCAATAAATGAATACTAATGTAACTATCAAAAGTGCGCACATTCAAGCCAGAATATGTGATAGGATAGATGTAGCTAGGTGGCAGAGGAAGCACAGCACAGGCTATCGGGGATTGAAAAGGCAACTGCATGCACGCATTATTTTTCAATATGTATATGAGTGAAAATAGGATCATGAAGCTTCAAATTTTTTTTATAAATATTTACCCTGTATGACAGCTAAAGCAACAGTTAGGCACAGACCAAGATATCCACAAATATGTTATGACATTTTAGGAACTTTTTAGCTGTTTAATTATGCAGTTACAGCAAGATTATTGATCACTGTTAGATATCCTTTAAATCCCCAAAACATGTGGCATGGGAATAAACAAATTGCACAATAGGACTCACAGCCATCTCTGGATTTCTCAATCTGCTCCCGCAGGAAGCGATCCTTGTGAAGGTTAACATCACCAAACCAGAAGTCCACCTGCTTGGCAATGTCAGCCAGCAGTTGTTTTACCCGAGAGCGTTTCTTTTTCTCCCGTTCCTTCCTTGTCTCTGTGCTTTCATCTTCTTTCCCCTTGCTCCTTGGTGTGTCCATTTCCATATCAGCCATCCTGGTAACTAAACAAACACACAAATTACAATACGGAATGGCATCGGTTTTTAAAAAATAAATGAATGAATGAAATCTCAGTTGCATCCTGAGTACCATAATCATCTGTTGGGAGATTTAGCAATTCACATATCTGGGGAATTAAGGCAAAATAGCTCAGCAGCTGAACATGAACCATACGGAACTTTCAGTCGATTGCAATTTCATGGATCAATATGTAAACAATTCCTGCCAAAATAGAGGCTGACATGGTTTCATTTTGTTTTTACTTAAAACAGTTACCTTTCAGAGATCTGTTTTTTTTTTCACTTTGCTATGAACGTCTATTTCTATTGATCTGTCACAAAAAAAAAAAAGGGAGAAAGGGTGAAAAATGTTCTGTGACAATAACATTAAAATGTCCAAGGGTGTAAATGCTTTCTATAGGCAGAGTCTACCTTTACTTACTCCTTTTTTAAAAGGTGCAGGCTTGAAAGTCATCATCCTGATCCTCTACTTACTAGAAAGCTGTATGCTTTTTTCAGTTAGGACCTCCCAACCTTTAAGGGCCCCTAAGTTAAGGCTTGCCTGAACCTTAAAGTAGAAGTATGGGAATAAAACAAACACCCATACTTACCTCCATGACACAGCTCAGTCTTTTTCTTAACAAAGTGGCTACTGAAGAGCCACAAAACACATCAATGGTGTTTTTAACCTGTTTTTTTTATAATCAATAAATACCAACCTTCTTTAAGAATCCACTTGGAAGCACTTTTTTTATTGAATGGATATCTGCTGACCACAAACTGGTTCCATTTTTGGACCTTATTCTTTCTACCATTGTTCACCAGATTTGATTGCAACCTAGCACGGTGCAAGAATTTCTGGAAAACCCAGACAAGCATTGAATGCAACTGTCCACAATCTGCATGGAGACAGCATTATTCTCCACATGTGCTTGACCCTAGGACAGGTATCCAGCAACCTTATGAATGTGAGTATATGCCTACTACACTTTTTGCCATACTTTTCTCAAATGGGTCTTGTGAACATTATCGAGGAGTTCCTCTGGCTCATCATGTCACATTGCTGGTGGGCAAGGGTCAAAAACATGGATGAACTACCCCACTTCCCCCCGGATGCCAGCATGAAATTAGCCAAAAGTAAAGGAAATCTGTCCAATGGGACACAAATCACAAAAACTGATATTATTATTATTAATAATAATAATCAGGATTTATACAATGTATCTCCAACAATTTATATATCAACAGTTTGTGCAGAGCTTTACAATACAAAGGGAGACAGTATAGTTACAGACAACAGGGTTAGGAGGGCCCTGCTCGTTAGAGCTTACAAGGTGGGGCAACTGGTACAAAATGTAATAACTGGTAGGGATGAGCTGATGGAAGAAGTAAAGCGGAACTAAACCCATTGATCTCATGGTTTCAAAAAACAGTTACATTCCCTGCGCCAACTGTCATATTTGCTTGTGTCCTCAACCAAACTGTAAAACCATCAAATGGTTGTAGACATAACTGATCATATGCTGCACTCTGGCAGTTACAGACTGAAAAGAGGCTAAGATGGAAGCTTCCTTGTCTGAAAAGAATAGGAGGGTTTAGTTTTGCTTTAAAAGTTCAGTTGTCAGGTGAAGGCGGGATAGGCTTCCCTGAACATATGAGTTTATTATGTACTATTGGATTATTGGACTTTACTAGTACAAAGAAGGCAGACACATGTATCTATACATGTGTCTGCCCTCTTTGTACCATTAAAGTCCAACAATAATTTGGGTTTTGTGTTGTATATATTTTTTTGGATGTGTTAGCAGCCATAGTTTTCACATATACACTATATTACCAAAAGTATTGGGACACCCCTCCAAATCATTGGATTCAGGTGTTCCAATCACCTCCATGGCCACAGGTGTATAAAATCAAGCACCTAGGCATGCAGACTGCTTCTACAAACATTTGTGAAAGAATGGGTCGCTCTCAGGAGCTCAGTGAATTCAAGCGTGGTACCATGATAGGTTGCCACGTGTGCAATATGTCTATCCGTGAAATTTCCTTGCTACTAAATATTCTTCAGTCAACCAATTAGTGATTTTATAACAAAGTGGAAGCAACTGGGAACAACAGCAACTCAGCCATGAAGTGGTAGGTCACGTAAAATGAGTGGGGTCAGCGTATGTTGAAGCGCACAGTGCGCAAAAGTCGCCAACTGTCTGCAGAGTCAATAGCTAAAGACCTCCAAACTTCACGTGGCCTTCAGATTACAACAGTGCGTAGACAGCTTCATGGAATGGGTTTCCATGGCCAAGCAGCTGCATCCAAGCCTTACATCACCAAGTGCAATGCAAAACATTAGATGCAGTGGTGGAAAGCACATCTCCACTGGACTCTAGAGCAATGGAGATGTATTCTCTGGAGTGATAAATCACGCTTCTCTGACTGGTAATCCCATGGACTTGTCTGGGTTTGGGAGTTGCCAAGAGAATGGTACTGCCTGACTGCATTGTACCATGTGTAATGTTTGGAGGAGGGGGGATTATAGTGAGGGGCTGTTTTTCAGCAGTTGTGCTTGGCCCCTTAGTTCCAGTGAAGGGAACTCTTAAGGTGTCAGCATACCAAGACATTTTGGAAAATTTCATGCTCCCAACTTTGTGGGAACAGTTTGGGGATGGCCCCTTCCTGTTCCAACATGACTGCGCACCAGTGCACAAAGCAAGGTCCATAAAGACATGGATGAGCGAGTTTGGGGTGGAGGAACTTGACTGGCCGACCTCAACCTGCTAGAACACCTTTGGGATGCATTAGAGCAGAGACTGTGAGCCAGGCCTTCTTGTCCAACATCAGTGCCTGACCTCACAAATGCACTTCTGGAACTGGAAGAATGGTCAAACACTCCTATAGACACACTCCTAAACCTTGTAGACAGCCGTCTCAGAAGAGCTGAAGCTGTTATAGATGCAAAGGGAGGGCCAACTCAATATTGAACCCTACAGACTAAGACTGGGATGCCATTAAAGTTCATGTGAGTGTAAAGGCAGGCATCCCAATACTGTTGGCAATATAGTGTAGAAAGCTTGGGGCAGAGATGCAAACAACATGGCTTTTATCCATTTCCTACTCCATCCTGGACAGGAACAAAAAGCCTAAGATTTTTTTTTCTTGAGTCGGGAGCGGGTCCACGGTTGTCAGCTACTCGTAAATCGCAGTGTTACAGAAAATTAATCAACTGTTTGTTTTGAAACTGTACATAGGCAGCTTTGTGGTCCAGCATGGACAATGTACAGGCAGTTGTCTGAAGCATGATTACGTGAACCTAATGTATTTGTTTCTGTATACATCCTGAAATATCAGTCTGTGCATTTCCAGGTCTTGCAGGACCTAGTTGTTTCCTGAGTAAATAGAAGATCTAAGCACCTACAGTGACATTTTGGCAGTTGCATTAAGCACCCTGGGTGTGTCCACCATTGGGTCAGATGCAAGCATTTCAATTAAGATTGCACAGTAGACTAGACATGCTTTTGGGGCAGAGTTTCCAACTGTCTGTAAATTTATGAACGGATTGCAAATATCATTATTTACAAAATGTCTTTAAGTGTACATTATGGACAGCGGCCACTCATAAAAATATATGGCCGTATCAGCTTTTGAACTGTGCATGTGCAGTTCTGAAGCTGGCAAAGCTCGGCCATCATGGGCCGGTGATGTCATGGCACCTTTTATGAATTGCAGCAGGGTTGGCTGGGGGAGCCGGGATTCAGGAGACAAGATTGGACTGGTGCAGCAGTGGAGAAGAGGAGACAGTGCAGAGCAGACTGAGGTGGTGATGACTAAAAGCAGAGGTAGAACAAGTGAGTCACCCAGAGGAGTGTAGTGGACTCCTTTTGAGGAGGTCATTATGACAGTGTTATTCCACCCTCGCCAGTCACTACAGTCTCTGTGGGGGGAGTGAATACACTAAGGCAGTGTTTCTCAATTCCAGTCCTAATCGACCCCCAACAGTTCATGTTTTCAGGATTTCCATTATTTTGCACAGGTGATTTGATCAGTTTCACTGCCTTAGTAATTACCACAGCTGTTTCATCTGAGGAAAATCCTGAAAACATGACCTGTTGGGGGTCCATGAGGACTGGAGTTGAGAAACACTGCACTAAGGTAAGGGGGTACACTGATATTAAAATTCCCGATTATATCAGTAACCCTCCCCTTATCTTAGTGTATTCACTCTGCAGAAAGAGTTCCCGGCATTCCCCTTTACATCAGAGTCTGCAGGTTTCCCCCTTACAGTGCAAGGGGAACTCTGCAGACCCTGATGTAAAAGGAGGGGGGGGGGGGGGGTTTGGCCCCTTACATCAGAGCTTCCCTTCACACCAGAATCTGCAGAGGGTGGTCTCTGGTCATCAGAGTCCTTCACCCCCCCCCCCATCAGAGTTCCTGGTGTTCCCCTTTACATCAGAGTCTACAGGTTTCCCCCTTACAGTGCAAGGGCGGAACTCTGTGAACCCTGGCATTGATATTAAAATTTCCCCTTACCTTAGTGTATTCACTCTGCAGAAGGTGTTTTCTGCCTCTGGACACGAGGGTCCCCCCCCCCCCCCCCAGAGTTCCTGCTGTCCTCCCTTTACATCAGAGTCTGCAGGGTTCCCCCTTACAGTGCAAGGGGGGAACCTGATGTAAAGGAGGATGGGGGCTCTGTTGATCAGAGACCCCTTACATCAGAGTTTCCCTTCACACCAGAGTTTGCAGCATTCTCCCTTATATCAGAGTACATGGATTACATTGACATTAAAGTTTCCCCCCTATATCAGTAATTCTCCCCTACCTTAGTGAATTCAATCTGCAGAAAATGGTCTCTAGAGTAACCCCAACCCCAGAGTTCCCACCATTCCACCTTAAATCAGTGTCCTTAGAGTTTCCCTTTACATCAGAGTCTGCAGGTTTCCCCTCACAGAGCAAAGAGGAACTCACCGGACCCTGATGTAGGGGGGAACTCTGGTGACCATAGATCCCCTTACACCAGAGTTTGCAGCA